TATATATATATATATATATATATATATAGATCCATAAGTGATAAAAGTATTTTTGTGTTAGTTTTTTTTTTTCAGTATTTGATCATGGAAATAAACATGTTTCACAAGATTTTGTCACAAAACTTTTACAAATCATAATATGGCATCAAATTTGTGCTGACATGATTTCTTCTTTTATTGAACTAGCTAATTAGTATTCATCATTTTATGGAATTTAACTTTTTCGAACGTTTACTTTGTAATTTAAATATATTAATTAATAATATGAATATAATTTGTCAAAGTTATATACTCATCGATATAGATACACGCGCGAAACGCGTACCCTAAAAGTAGTAAAGTATAAATGTAATAACACATTCTACGTTTTAATACAAAGTAATAGAGTCTCAAACTTTTGTTCACCTCAATGGAACAATTCTTGATCAATTGGAGAAACAATATCCATTTTTTGCACTAAGATATCAAAAGTGGATGAGAATCATATAGATCATCTTGGAGCTTTAAATAAAGTAGCATCGCCCAAACAAATTGCATTAATATACTCCGGGGGACCATGAGCTGGCATACCCGGAAATAGGAGTCCATACAACCTAAGTGCTTGAAGAAGCAAGCTTTCTCTGTATTCTGTTCCATACAGATATGGAAGAAGAAAGCTTCTCACCAACTCCCACAATGCGTCCACCCTCTTTGATATTAGTGATCTCACAGAAAAGTAATTTCTGTCTGGTTCTTCTGAAACGATCTGTTGCACATAATGTGAAAAGTGAGATCAGTATCCTGGAAAACTAGGAATGTTACATTACCTGCTATAATAGGTTAAAATTACACTGATTCATAAGACATTCTTGTTGTACTCACCTTTCCTTCATATATGCTGCTATAGTAAAGGCATGTCCCAAAGTGTTTAAAAAGCAGGGTAGTGTTATCATACGGCAACCTGGTAACAATATCATGACTGTAAACGAATCTATAATATTCAATGCCATAGTTCCTGAATTGTTCTTTCATGAAGTCCCCGAACTTGCTATCACCTACCCTTGGCTGCCCAAATGTGTAAATTGCTTCCAATCTTTCTAGTATAAAAGCTTCATTGTGGAATGCAAGAACTGCTGAAAAAAGAACTGCGAGTGCGCCACCTAAGCTGTGCCCTGTTAGAACAAATTTGGTTTTGTTATTTTTCTGAAAGAAGTCTCTTAGTTTTTCCCTGATTGTGTAATATGCTACTGGGCGTTGGTCATCTTGTGGTATATTGGGAGGCCAACTTTCATCTTTCTGTAAGCCCATAGCCTTCATGAAACCGCTGTGGACTTTGCCCATGCTGTGGAATTTGTACCAAGATATGTCGAAATCTGTACTCCAGTCATCTGAATTGAAGGGTTCAGTACCTCTAAATGCCACAATAATTCTGTCCGGACTGGTAGTTTTGTCATGAAATATGAAGCCTTGAGTCGATTTCTTTTGGTGATACTCTGCCAAGCACAATTTGTGTTAGAAAAACTCTACTTTTTAGATATTGCGTGAGAGATTGTCCTCCCTCTGTTCCATTAGATTACACTTTCGACTTGACTCAATTAGTAAGAAAAGAGCTGAAGAATACGTTAATGGCATGTAAATAGAATTTGGCACCTATTTGCCCCATGAAAGCTATCCTTGTGATCACTACTTTATTAACATTTTGCGCACAGTTTTCTAATGAATTGTTTTTTTTTTAGTTTATATGCGTAATATCATACCATTCCAAAAATCGTAGGCCCCCAGTAATTCCATCTGCATAAGAATCAAAACTTGTGCAGATTAGTAGAATCAAGAAGTGATCGAACCAAATAGTGATTGACTAGTATGTCAAATGGAAGTATAGAACTAGCTAGCTTGCCAATCAAACATATTAGTATCTTAAATACTGAGATACAAGTTAATTAGGCAACCTTCCATTGATCTTCAACGGTAGCTCGGATAAAAGCTTTATTCTCGTAAGCTACTTTTGATGCAATTGCAGAAAGTGCAACAACATATGTTTTATCCCAAGGTTTGAACTTCTTATGACAATCCACTCTCGGATCTATAAATCCAATAGCGGATAGATAGCTGGCTGACTCTTTTTCTGGCATCACTACCTTCCCTACCAATAGTAACGCAGGGTTAATTTCAATATTAGTAAATTTATCCACTATAACAGTAAAGTCACATAATTACTTTATGTTACGTTAAAGTAATTAATGAACTATGTGTGAATTGCCCAAAAAAAAAAAAACAATTCAAAAAATACGTGAAATTCTTATATATAACTTGTAGATCTAATAGAAAACAGGAATTTGACAAATTAAATATGGACTCTATATCTGTTGTTGTCTAACCTTGCAAGATTCTCAATAACAATGTAAGAAGGCTTTGGTTACGAGCAAGAAGATTTAGGCAGAACTCTGAAATTGAACCGCAAAATGACAGAGGCTTTGAGATGAACTGAAGAGCTTTTTGGACGGACACTGAGAGAAAGATGTATCCTCGACGCTCGAAAGCTGTCTCTTTCACTCTCAAACATTCTATGAATTGTTTGCTTTCAAGGTTGCCGGAAAAGAGAATACGTAGGATATCCAAAAGACTTGCTTCATCTGGTTTTAGTTGAAGGTATTTGTTGCTACTCACCTTCTCCACCTTGTTATAACGATCCATGATGTGTGTGATTAATTGGCGTTTTTCTGAAACTCTGTTTATGGAGATAACATAGCAGTATAAATCGTCAAATATATATTAATAACCAAGGTCGTTTATAAGTACGATCTACTTTAATTTAGCTTAAGAAGAAAGCGGATTTAATCTTATAGTAAGAAACTTTCCGGTCTCTTATAAATAGTTTTAAATATCTATGGAATAGTGGCACTTTAGCATCTTTCAGTTTGGACATGCCTGGCAAATATTGTAATGGACTTTGAAAAGTGCAAACAGCTGGCAATGTAGTATACTGGAGCATTACTTACATTTAACTATATATCTAGTGCTTGCAGATTTTTTTTGCATCATCACGTAAAGCTCAATTGTAAGTAATTTTCATATAGAATATCATTAATGGTTACCTACAAATTAAAAGATGATAAGTTACTTGTTACAACTGATAAATTTACACTGATCGGTTTTTATAAGTTAGATTCATGTATTAGTATTCTCAGCAAGTGTAGGTCTTTTGGTCGTTTTTAAGTGTCCCACGCTACAAGCTCGTGAAGGGACGTCAAAATGATTCCAAGAGTGATGCCGTGGAAATCCACTTATACACACTATGTGGATCTTTTCCAGATCAAAAGAATGTTGGTGATCTTCAAGAATTAATTGTCAGATTACACAAATAGCGTGTATATATTAGGCCAAACTGGTAGTCTTAGTTAATCGGCTTTTTGAGTAACATGATTGACATGTATGTTAGTAAAGCCAATAGATTAAAATACGGTGAGGGAATTAAGATCTTTTCTTCCTGATCCACAAGACTTCCCACCGAGGATAGTTTCAAAGTTTAGAACCCAAGTGCTCGTGCTCCACATTCCACATTAAATAAAGATTTTCTTTATAGAGGTTGTAGCGACGGCGGGTTCCCTTCTTACCAAGATATTCCTAAGGAATCTATATTACCAGGAAGGATATATTTAAGTTATACAGAGATCAATGGTTTAAAAGAACATTAGTCAGTTATACCAGGCTATTTGCAATTTATAATTCTAGGTTCCTAATAAATGTTTATCATATAAAGTTTATCTGCTTTTAAGTGACTCCTAGGAATATCTTTTTTAACATCATCACTGCATAAAACTCAAAACAATAACTAAAATAGCAACAATAGGAGTATTATTTATCGGGCGTTACATAAGCACTGCACTGCAGACACATGCATGAGGATACAGATTCGAACGAACCCAATAGCTTTAATCCATACCCTATATTTGTCTTAAGTATTCAATATACAAATTATTAATTTTGAACAGTGACTTAAACGGACTAGAATCTCAAACCCATAAATTTCAAATTAGGGCTCAGATTCTAAACACATACCTTATGATCCAAATTGGTGCAAGGAAAAAAATTAATAAGAAAAAAAAATCACATACGGACTAGATTCTTAAGATGTGATAATGCCAATCTTTTGATACTTTGGTCCATCACCATTAGCATAAAGCTGCTCATGTACAGGTGATCCCAGCCTCGTGGAATTGACATAATCCTGAGGACAATGTGCTGGTACGCCGGGGAGTAACAAGCCTACCACCCTCGTGAGAAGAAGAAGCCCACCTTCCTTATAGTTCCGTCCGGCTAAACACGGCAGAGGAAGAATAAAGCTTCTGATCAGCTCCCATACCGCATTTAACATCTTTGGTATAATCAGTAACACAGAGAACCCATTCTTGTCTGGTTCTTCACTTAAAATCTACATTCCAACAGCATATATAATCATCACATATACTCACAGAGATAAAGATTAAGGAGGTAAAACATTTTTTTTTCTATTCAATAAATGAGTGTGATCTTATTAGTTATATGTATAATTAGTCTTCTATAGATTCGCCTTATTGAAATGGAATGTGCTTTATTTTCAATATTGAACGAGTTATATCTTCATGGACTAAATTTGACAGCCTTATCCATTTATATAACTTCAAATTAAAGAGTACTTACTTTTTCTTTGTAGAGGCTATTATAGTATAAGCAAGTTCCAAAGTGCTTGAACATGAAGGTGGAATTATCATATGGCAATCTTGGTACCATGTCATTGCTGTAGACAACCCTATAGTATGGAACGTCATATTTTGCTAATTGCTCCTTCATATATTCACCGAAATTTGCATCTCCAACTCTTGGTTGGCCAAATGTGTAAACGCCCTCTAATCTTTTCAACAGCAAAGATTCCTTATGAAATGCCAATATTGCAGGAAATAGAATTGCAAGTGCTCCACCCAAACTGTGACCAGTGACCACAAACTTTGCCTTTTCATTCTTCTGTAGAAGTTGCTTGAGCAATTTTCTTAAGTAATAGTAGGCTGGAGATGGCTGGTTATTATCTGTTTGTACAATATCTTTGGGCCATCCGAGGTTCTTCTGTAACCCAAGAGCTTTCAAAAATCCCGCATGAATTTTGCCCATACCAGGAATCTCATACCAAGAGAGGTCAAAGTCTGAGATCCAATCATCGGAATTGAAGAATTCTGTTCCTCTAAATGCCACAACAATAAGCTCGGGGTCGACCTTTTTATCTTGAAGCACGAATGCTTGTGTTGTAGCTTTTCCTTGATAATCTGGTAGAAGCCATAAAAAAGATGAGGAAAAAATCAAAAGAGAGAAGAAGAAAAAAAAGTAAAAATTAAATCCGATCCGTTATGTTTTAGAGATTTAGGCATCATTTGTTTTTATTAAGATTTAAGCGTCTAAACTCGAATACACATGTGAATATTAGTGTGTATTAAGATTAAAATATCTGAATTTGAATTCACATTTGAATATTAAGATCTGGATACTAAATAATTAAAATGGTTTGTTTTCTCTAAATGTATACATTTTTTCTTTATTTAAACATTAATAAATGTAAATCCAATCAAATAATCCTAATTAGTAAAATTTTCTATTAGTAAAATATTTTAAAAAAAGTATATGGTGATTAGTGGTGGTGATGACTAAATGCTGTGGTTGTGGTGCTGATTGGGTAGTAGCTGGTGGGTGATGTTGGTTGATGGTAGTGATTATGGGTAGTAGATGGTGGATAACAGTAGCAATTAACTGTAGTGATTGATGGTGGTGGTGACTGATAACTGCGATGGGTGATATATATTGGTGATCGATGGTTATTATGGTAATAGTGATTGGTGGTGATGGCTTTAATTGATGTCTAGTGATAGTGACAAATAACATCCGTGCTTGACAACGATGGTGGTTGTGGCTGATGATTGGTAGTAATGGGTGGTGCCGGTGATGGTGGTAGTCTATAATGGTGGGGAATAATAGTAGCAGTGGTGGTAGTGATTAGTGGTAAAAGTGCAAGAGTTATGGTGAAATATCATATTTTACATAAATTCTTGAATGTATAACATCTTAATGATATTAAGACTATGTTATATATAAATCTTAATCATTAAGATCTTTCAGACTCATTAAGTAGTTGTAAAATTAAAAAAATAAACAGACTTAATGGTTAAGATCTGAATTATTAAGATTCAAATCTAAAAAAATAATTGCACTTAATGATTGAGATTTGAAATATTAAGACTCCGACGGGAGACAAATGAGGCCAAGTCAAATTTTTAGAATAAAGTTATTGGAAAATTAACTTATTTCACTAATGATTATAAGTCATTTTCCCTGTAATTTCTCTTAATTTTTAATTCATATCACTAAAATATTTATGCAGAACTTTTAGCTTTAAGATTCAGCCTGGAAATCGCCATAACAAAAAAATTGATTACCATACAAATTGAAAGAGACTAATTAACGACAATAGCCACTATTCGAGTATTGTTGATGATTGCAAGTGGTTGATACTCAAGGTGTCAGAGTCCCACATCGATTGTGACTGAGTTATTTGGTCTGATCTGGGACAATCCTTCAACTAGTTTTTGGTTTGAGTTAATCTTCAATGAACATTTTTTTTTCAATTACCAGCCAAACACCATAACAAATTTCTTTTTTCAAGAAAAATATTTCCAATCACATGATCGACCAACACACCCCTAGTCTTGCAAATTTTATTTTCTTTGGCTTGAATTATATAATTGTAATGTTTGCTACAGTACATACGTATCTTACCATTCCAGAAGTCAAAGGAGCCCAAGAGATCCATCTGCATATATAAAATTGAAACATGAGAACGCAAGATCTAAACATATCATTTTCATTACAAGAAAAAAACAAGAGAAAAATATGATAGCTAGTTTAATTTACCTTCCAGTGATCTTTGACCGTAGTTTCAATATATGCTTTGTTCTCGTAAGCTGCTTTGGCAGCCATCATACTTATTGCCTCATGGTATCTTCTACGTCCAAGTTCAACACTCTTATTATCTAGCTCAACCCTTTTATCCATATTTCCAATAAAAGACAAGAAAGTCGCTGATTCCTTATCCGGCTCTACAACTTTACCTACAAATCACAAATATAAATTAAATAGTTTTGCGCTATAGTTAAAAGATAAAATGAAATTTTAGTGTAAATTTTTTTTGTGTGTACCGCTTAAGGCGTTGAAAACAAGACGGAAGAAGCCGCCGTTAACGTTTAAAAGGTTAAGCCAGTGCTCAATAGCATTGCCAAAACCTGCCAAAGGATTAGCAGTAGACTGTAAAATCTTTTGGACTAGGATGGAAATAAAAATTATCCATCTTTGTGGAAATGACACCTTAGTCATTTCTTGATCAGGACGGTCTACAAAATTTTTTTGTCCCAGTATTTTACTGGAAAACAAGATACGTGCCAAGTCTAATACACTACATTCCTCTGGTTTTAGCAGCATATAGTTGCTGCAGAAAGACTTGTTGCAAGTGCTCGCCATTGCCATAATTTAAGAATGAAGAAGGATAAGAGAGGATTGTGCATACAAGTTTGAAATACATGGATCTATTTATAGTAGTTAGTAGAGTAAAAATGGCAATCGGCAAAGGGCCAAATATAACCCTATACTTTCGAAAATGATCTAAGAATATCCCTTGTTATACTATTAGGTTATCTATACTCCTACAGTTATACTTTGGGTTCAAATATACCCCTCATTTAAACGGAGGTATACGTGTCATCGTACTGTTGGTCAATTCTAAATATCTCATAATTAATTAAAAAGACTCATTACCCATACCCGAAAAATAATTAATTTTTTTTGTAAAAACTGGAAAAAAACTAAAAAAAATTTTACTAAAAACTGATAAAAAAGAAAAAAAATATTTTCCCAGTTTTTACAAAAAAAAACTGCTTTAAAAAAAACTGAAAAATATTTTCTAAAACAATATTTTTGTAAAACCAAAAAAAAAAGCTGAAAATCAATTTTTCTAAAGCAATTTTTTTTTTGAAAAAACTGGAAAAAAACTGAATTATTTTTACTAAAAACTGAAAAAAAAACGAAAATATTTTTTTTCTAGTTTTTACAAAAAAACTGCTTTAAAAAAAGCTGAAAAATATTTTCTAAAATAATATTTTTCTAAAAACTGAAAAAAAACTAAAAAGTAATTTTCTAAAGCAATATTTTTGTAAAAACTAAAAAAATAAATATTTTCTTTTTTTTTCAGTTTTTAGTTAAAAAAATTTCAGTTTTTTCAGTTTATAATTGCTTTAGAAAATTGATTTTCAGCTTTTTTTTCCTTCAGTTTTTACAAAAATATTGTTTTAGAAAATATTTTTCGATTTTTTTAAAGCAGTTTTCTTTTGTAAAAACTGGGGAAAAAAAATATTTTTCGTTTTTTTAGTTTTTAGTAAAAAAAATTATTTTTCGGGTATGGGTAATGAGTCTTTTTAATTAATTAAGAGATATTTAGAATTGACCAACAGGACGATGACACGTGTCCCTCCGTTTAAATGAGGGGTATATTTGAACCCAAAGTATAACTTTAGGGTATAGATAATCCAATAGTATAACGAGAGATATTTTTAGATCATTTTCGAAAATAGAGGGGTATATTTGGCCTTTGACGCAATCAGATTTCCGTCTCAATAGTACATTCCTTCTAACTTTTCCTATTCAGTTAATGTGAATGTGGACAATGTGAAGACAAGGAAACTGTGTTGTACAGTAATTCGCTCTCAGTCCAGGTGCCAGCTCCAAGTTGTAGTAGTACTTTTTGAAGTGCTTAGGGGGCTCCATGCCTTTTGTTTTTTAGCCTTTTTAGTCACTACATTTTGAATCACGTTTAAAACGAAACAGAAACTGTAGCACTTGAATGCGGTCAGTAATTAGGTATCGTCTTAGCAATAGATCGATGAAAACAAAATATAAACTTAGCAATAGAAAAGAATGGTAGGAATCCGAAAAGTACAAGTTCATGCAATATATTATTAGTTCACATGTGGGTTATTAGTTGAACCATTAATAGGTGTTTACGGGCTTACAGCAAATCAATTAATGTAAAATGTATGTCTAAATTATATATATGATCACTTTAATTTTTAACTGCTACAATTAAATTATTTAGTTTAATATAAATACTAGTTGTGGAATAAGTATTTAACTTTGATATGACGTGATAAAATGAAGTTTTTTTATATTAAAATGAATTGAGTGGTATGGGTGTAATTTAACCTACTAGACTCGAATCGACCTTTATATTTGTTTTTTCTCCTTAATTTGAGAACTTAAAGTTTAGTTACTAAAAAATGATTCATTTGTGTAATAATTAAAGTTATTAACTCAATCAAATTCATGTGTTTCTCCTTCAATTTTTCCTCTATATTGTTTGACAAAACTTATATGATATTGGGCTAGTAACGTAATGCGAGTAATCTAATCTTTTAAGTCGGTTAATGCGGACTAGAATGATTGAACCTTAGACATATATACTGTTCCACCAACCTGTTAAACTTTGGCCATGATTACTCTTTTTTAAAATAAGTAATACTTTACTACTCCATCAAAGTTGTACCGTAAACATCATCATGTGGAAACGTGTTACATGCATGCGTGAGTTTTGATTTTCATTAGAAAAATGAAAAAGAAAAAAGGTGATCTCCTCCTAATAATAATTTATTACAGCAGTACCAGCTGCGCACAAACTTACAGCAATGACACTTTACATTCGCCTTTTTTTACTCTTGAAAAAGATGACCTACACCACTTTTAATGAATTTGTTACGATAGTCAACAGCTAATAGAAAATTTATTGCTATATAGCTATAAGTTTGATACTTTAGACCAAGAAATAAAATCATACCGTAAGATTTACACTATGGCGTTTTTGGTATTTTCAGTACAAAAGTCCTAAATGTAGATCAACTATATAGCTGGTAACTCTAATGCGTTAACTTATTAATTCTCATCTGATATCCAATGGAATATCTAAATATGGGTTGGTATATTATCAAAAGTGTGGGTGTTGTGAGCAGTGGCGGAACCAGGATCTCCGCGAACGCGAAGGGGGTTCAAGAAGATCGTAGCTAGTGAGAATTGAACGTATGACCTTTCAAAAATTTTGAACACCCTTGACCACTAAGCTACACTTTAGGGCTGTGTCAAGAGGGTTCAAAACTTAATATATAGAGATAAAAAACAGATTTTGCCTTATATATACAGTGTAATTTTTTGACGAAGGGGGTTCGGGTCCCTTCCGCCCCCTAAATCCGCCCCTGGTTGAAAGAATCTAAAGGTTGAACCCATTAAATAAAATTCTAAATCCCTCACTATCACTTATTATGAGATATATCATGAATCTAAAATTCCAAACTCATAGCTATGGAGATAACACAACATTCTTAAAAAGTTTAATTTTTTAAATTACTACTCTCTATGTTTCAATTTAGATGACACGCTTTTCTTATTAGTCTGTTTTAAAAAGAATGACACATCTCTACAATTAGAAATAATTCAACTTTAAACACTTCCTCTTACCTATTTTACCCTTAATGAGAAACTTTTATAACCACACAAATGTCATGACCCCACAAAACTTTTACCCCTTAATTAAGCTTTTAAGATCACACGTTTCAAAAGTCTTTTTTTTTCCCCTTAAACTTCGTATCGAGTCAAACTACATTATCCAATTTGAAAAGAAGAATATATATTTTTGTTCTTTTCCCGGCCCGAAACGAATTGGCAATGTTTTAAAAAGAAATAGGAAAAATTAAAGTTACCGTAAATTTATACCCTACTGTGTATTGCACTGATCAAGTAGTGTAGCGAAAAAATACCTGCATGGAGTAGTAATTGGATGCTTGATCTACACATAAACAGCACAAAGCCTAAGTGATTGAGTGCACACAACCACAGAAAAATAAGTAGAGCCAGTTTGAATGATCTTTATTTTAAATGATTTTTAAGCGTAAGCCACAAGTTATGAATTTAGCCTTTAACTTTTTTTTTTCTTTCTTTATTTTAGTTTTAAAAACAAGTACTTAAAAATATTTTTTTATTTAATCAAAACACTACAAAATAACTTAAAAGTAATTTTGAATTAAAAGTACATAAAATAAGTCAATTCAATAGCTAGTAATATCTTAGTTTCAATGAATTATTGATGCTATTATGTCTCTTTGCTAGCTAGCATATGATCTATGGTTAAAAAATGACTTAGGCCCCTGCTGAAAGTGATTTTACTGACTTTATAGTTTATACTATAGTTATCAGATCATCTGTCCCTTTCCCCTTCTCTGGCTTCTTCCCAGGCCTCCGCCTCCCATAGCTTCACTTCTATCGATTTATTTTCTTTTCGTGCTCTAATTAACATCTGTTTGCAGATCTTTGTAACCTAATTTACATGCATAATGGCATTTAGATTTGTTATATCTAGGGTTCACAAATCACCTACCAATTTAAATGATAACAATAATTAAGAAAAGAAATTTTAACTAAGTCATCAATTGATGTACACTAAATTAAAATCAAATACTATATACAGTAGAGGGTATTAACTCTATCAGCTTAACATTTTGGTTACCAAGCGCATTATAAAAACATATTCGGAGTCAGTAACGAAACTAGAAATTTCTCCAAGGGTGTTCATACTCGAAAGAAGTAAAAACATTTCCCCCAAAAAAGTATTTCATATATGTTATACACATCTAAAATCTAATATTTTATTTATATATACAGTGTAATTTTTCGTAATACTTCGACGAAGGGTGGTCAATTAATTATTGGGAAAATAATATCCCGCCTAGGAATAATATCCGCGATAAATAATAATAACACAATAGAGTAACAAAGACACCAAATCTTTTAACGGGGTAAAATACAATAACCGAACGAGGCAATATTACCACTATAATATTACAACTTAGTAGTATCAAGAGACTACTAAAACTTCGAAAGAAAATAACACTCTTTATTTTAATTATCTCACTTCAATATTACTCACACTCACTATTTATCTCACAGACTACGATCTGTGAATTACTCTCTCTAACTTTTGTTATTTCTCTCTGCTTTTTGGTGTGTTGAAAGAAGTGAAAGATCGTAGCCTCCAAGAAGAGTCTGAAACCAAAATGTGGTTCTTTTGGACTCAAAGAACCAAAATGTGTGGAAAAAAAATTGGTGACCATTTTATATATAACGCCCTTTTAAAGGGCGCTATACCTTAACGGTCATATGCCCAGTTAAGTATAGCGCCATTTTAAAAGCCGTTATATGTATAAAACCTTTTTGAAAGGGCGTTATACTTAATTGGGCAAACTGTCGTTAAGGTATAGCGCCCTTTAAAAGGGCGTTATATATAAAATGGTCAGCAAGTTTTTTTTCCACACATTTTGGTTCTTTGAATCCAAAAGAACCATATTTTGGTTCTGGGCTACAGAAGAATTAATTCTCCTCCACAAATTTAGCCTTTGGCTCCAAGTCTCTCTACCAACCTATCCATAGGCACATGCCTATTTCACTTGTTGTTTATTGGCCAAAT